CCGTCACCCTTAGTAGTCACCCTCAGTGATAGCCTGCTCAGGAATACGCTTTGTATGGGCTTCTTCCTGGTCTCACTTTCCCACCCCCTACTTCCTAGGACCATCTCCCAAATAAATGATTTGCCCCCAAATCCTTGAGTCAGGGTCTGCATCTGGGAGCACGCAAACAAAAACTGTGAACTATCCTGTGTGTATATGTCACAATGATGAAACCTCAGTAAGTGCTCTCTAAAACTATAGATTCTCTAATTAAGGGCTGAGCTCAGCAAGGTGGCCACAGGGACACGGTGAGGAGCAGCTGCAGCTGTCCAGGTGAGAGGAGACACTGGTTGGAACCAGGGCTCAGAAGAGCGAGTGAGAAGTACCAGACTCCCTAGGTCTTTAAGGTACAGCTGCACACAGATGTAAGACCGAACATGGGGTGAGGAACTCTGCAGGAAAAGCAAACTATAGACCGTGACAGTCTTCTAGGCCAACCTCTAGGTCCACAGTTTAGGTCATCCTATAATGACTGAATGCCAGACCCAGAACAGGCCCTGCTGGTAAAGAAATGAAGCTGACAGACCTTTCAGGGAGCTGGTGGGGGAAAGACCCAGGCTGCTACAGCCCAGGATGGGGACCACCTGGGTAGGAAGATGTGCTCTGGCTCAGCCCACAGGGGTGACCCAGCCAGGTGGGACCTGGGTTTGAATCTCAGCTCTGCTACTTGCAGGTTGTGTGGGCTGAAGAAAATGGCTCAACCTCTCGGGCCTTGATTTCCTCATCCATGAAATGGGCATATTTGTAGCATCCATGTCCTAGGTGGCTGTGTGAATTAGACGTGTCAATATGTGTGAAGTTCTCAGGACTATACCCAGCACACAAGAAGCTTCCACGCTTTGGCAGTTAACATTCAGTGCTTGGATCCTTTCTCCTGGTGGTGCTTCATTGTCAAAGCTCACTACCTCATCTTCAGGCAGTTCTGGCAATATGACCATGATCTCGTTCCACCAAGAAGCGAGGTCTACATCCCATCCCCTGGAGCCTGGGTGGACCTTTGTAACCACTTCAACCCACAGGAGGGGCAGAAACAGTGCTGCAGGACTTCCAGGGTTCAGTTGTAAAAGGGGATACGGCCTGCATGCTCTCTTATTATCTCAGCTGGGGATCCCTGTGCTACTCTAAGGGAGCCATGCTGGAGACCAGAAGGCGAGACCCACAGAGGGAGAGAGAGAAGGTCCGCACAGTGCCCACTGTTCCAGCCCTGGGTGCTGAACTCTTCCATGTGCCACACACGTGAGGGAGGGAGCCTTCCAGGCATCTCCAGCCCCAGATGCCATCTGACTGTAGCAATAGGAGACCTTGGCTCAGAACCACCCACGAGAGCCTGAATTTTTGACCCACACAAACCATGCAAAATAACACATGATTATTTTAAGCTGCTAAGTCTGGGGCGATTTGTTATGCAGCAGTAGAGAACCGGTGCACCTTCTTTGGGGCCACAGATATTCAGCACATATTTGGGTGCCCGCTATATGCAAGAAATGAGTTAAATCAAGGCATAGCTCTGATTCTTCATTCACTGGTTTAATATTTTGTACCAGGTGTTTGGCACTATGGAATAAAATCACACTCTCTGTGTATGGAAACACGGATGGTGGAAGTTGGCTGCCCTACTCCATCTCACTTTTTGCAATCAGAGGAATCAGACTGGTGATTCCAGCTTGAGTACTGGGTCCTAGGAGAGGATCTGGTTGGCTGGCTATGTGCCTCTTGTCCAATCAGCTGTGACTGTGAGGCAGGATGTCGCACAATGTGAATTCCCTCATTGGTGGACAGGCAATTTTCTGAGTAGGTGCCGCCCCCAAAAGATCGACTCCCTAGGGTTGATACTAAAAATGTGTAACAGTGACCCAGCCAGACCTTGTGCCAGGGTATGGACATTGGCCATAGCACTCGAGAGGTTCCTGAAGCCCCTGCTGTGCAGTACGCCCCCTTTCTGCTGGCTGGCTGTGAGTGGTGATTGCAGACCACACTGTTAAGCTCCCACACTACCAATGCTTCTTGCCCCTCAGCCCACATGGGCAGACTCATTTCACATTCATGTTCTGGACTCTACAAGACCCCTCTGGATGGTCCTTCTAGGATTCAGCTCATCCTCAGAGACATTCCGGGCTGTTAGGGCCTACTTCTGCCTCCAGGCTAACGTCCCGGGGCTAGCCAAAATGATAGCAGCACTGTGTGAGAATTTCCTTCCCAGGAGTTCCCTTAAGGTAGACGTGCTGGGCAGTTCATGCCTAAGTCACACAGCTATGTGGTGGCCAGGTGGGAAGAAAGTCACCCTCCTGGGCCGGCTGAGCAGCTCAGTTGGTTAAGAGCTCACTCAAGAGTGCGAGCTCTGAGCAAGAGTGGTTCGATGCCCGGCCTGAGCTGAGCTGCCGCTGAGCTGCCAACAGGTGGCAGGATGGCTCAGCTAAAAAAAAAGATACTAAGAAAGTCACCCTCCCAAGGTGGTCTCCCGGGATTTCTCACGACCCTGGGGCCTGCCTCTAGCCCCTTTACACAGCAGTGGGAGGGCATAAGCCCAGCACAGCACTCAGTGGTTCCTGGCTGGCGAGTGGGCAGGTGACAAATGAAATGCTGGTGGAGACTGCCCAGCATTTTGGACGCCCTGGGGGGCCTCCTGGCTGCACCCTGCCATTCAACCAACTTATCTATAGAGCGCAGGGGCTGGGCCAAACTGCCAGCAGCCAGGTATTGGCACTTGTGGTTAGGTCCAGCTGCCTCTACCTCTCCTAGACCAGGTGCCTCTTTCATTTTCTAAAAGTGAAATAGAGAGTAGGGAACCACCATGTTGCTGTAAGAGAAGAATGCTTCCCTCCCTTCTGATGAGTAGCTGTGAGCCAAAAGATTATGCTCCCATTACAGTTTTGGAATCCTGCAAGTTTTCCCTCTTTAACGCACAGCAGGCTTAAATCTGGAGTGTTCCACTTTGACTCAGGTCAATTCCTGCCTCCAATTCCCAACCACTGTTTTAAGAAATACATTTTAAGTGGTGGCTCACAGCGCAAAACAAAACTTTAAAAACGCTGGCTGCGGGCCAGCTGAGTGGCTCACTCAGTTGGTTAAGAGCACGAGCTCTGAGCAACAGGGTCGCTGGTTTGATTCCCACATGGGCGAGCTGTGCCTGAGCTGAGCTGCTGCTACGCTGCCAACAGGAGGCAGGATGGCTCAGCTGGTGAGAACACAAGCTCCTAACAACAAGGTTTCAGGTTTGACTCCTGCATGGGACGGTGGGCTGTGTTCCCCCCGCAACTCAGATTGAACATGGCACCTAGAGCTGAGCGGACGCGAACTGCCGATGGGCAGCCGGATGGCGACTGGACTTGAGGTAGCTGCACCCTCCACAACTAAGATTGAAGGACAATAACTTGGCTGTTCCCCTTCTCCAATGCCCCAATAAAATCTTTTAAAAATGCTGACTACAACCTTCCTCATTGATTCTCTTCCTAATAACTTGCTACTGGCTCTTTACAAAATATGGGTCTAGTTGCTGGCTACCTTTATACATACGGGAAACTCCATGCTTCACCCATGTGTTGCATCGACTTCCAACATTATCGTCATTTTGCAAGAACCAATGGCATCACCCAACTGACATTTTTTTTTCATATAAGCACAATTAATGCTCTTTACAGAAAACGTGGAAAAATAAAGCCCCTCTCTCAACCTTCACTCTTCACAGAGACAGCCTTTGTGATTTTTTTTCCCTCCCAGACTTGTAGACATACTCGTACTTTAGGGCAAGAGGAATGACATTTTTCTGTGGTGGGAATTCCACCAGCAGTGAACCTTGCTTATCTGGCATTAGGGTCTCAAGTTTTACAGAAAATCTAGCTTTAGGTTTTAAGAGCATTTCAACTCAGACATTTTGAAAGCAAATCTTTTTTAATAACTTGATTGAGATGTAATTCACATATCAAAAAGCTCCCCCTTGGGCCGGCCGAGTGGCGCGATGGTTAAGAACTGGCTTGGGACGCCAGAGGGCCCCGGTTCGGATCCCACATATGAGGGCCAGTGACACTGCCCTCCACAGCTAAGATGCTGAACAACAGCTCAACCTGGAGCTGGGCTGCCGTGAGTTGCCTTCAACGGCTAGGCTGCGGCCCCTGCTGCAGTGGGTTGCCATGGGCTACTGTCTATAGTCAGCAGCCAGCGTGAGCGGCCAGCAGCCGCAGTGAGCGGCCGTCCAGAAGCCGGCGACTGATCTGCCTCACCCGGGGAAGAGCACAATGATGGTGCCAGCATGGGCCAGTGAAGCAACGTCCTCCACAACTAAAGAACAAAAGGACAGCAACTTGTCTGTTCCCGTCTCCCCAAACCCCCAATCAAAATCTTAAAAAAAAAAAAAAGCTCCCCCTTAAAAAAAAAAAAAGGCATACAATTCAGTGGTTTCTCTAATTCCAGAACATTTCTCTTTCTGAGGTGTATCACCCCCAAGTTCACTCCCCAGCTGGCGGACCTTGGACAAGTCACCCAAGTCCAGGGATTTCTTTGTAGTACCGGGCGCCCAAGCCCCAGGTTGTCTAAGGGACACGCAGAGCTCAGACAGAGCCCCGCCCCCGTCGCGTGGACAGTAGGGTCAGGTGTGTGGCCCCTCCCGCTAATCCATCGGCCCCGCGCAGCGCGTTACCGTTTGATTACACTGTAATTAAATGTAAGTTCGTAGCACTTCTCTGTTAAACACACTGTAGTTTTCCTGAACTGCACTGGCTTGGTATCCACCCAAACCTGCATTGTCCCCCGCAAACCCCTCGGGGACTCTGAGACCGGACATAGTAGACCAACACACCCAAAGGGCCGCGCCGCAGCGCAGGCGCACGGCAGGCGCAGCCTGAGAGCGTCAGCGCGCATGCGCTCGGGCGCGTCCATTTCCCATCCCTCCAACCCCCGCCCTCGCACCGATGGTTTCGTCCGCGGTGGAGGTGGGGCTACGCGTGGCGCGAAAATCGGCGCGAAACGCTGCACCACTTCCGTGAGCAGCTCCGCTCCCGCTCTCGGCATCACCATGGCGCAATGCCGCCTCACCGACTTCTTTGCGAGTCGCCGTCCCGGACCTCGCGCAGCATCGTCGCGGGCCAAGCCGACCTGGAGCACACCGAGCCCTGCCAAGCCCTCGCCCCGCACCTCGGCCACCACCACGGGCGGCAGCCGCAAGCGCGCCCGCCCGCCAGCAGAGCCGGTGCGCGATGAGCCCTCGCCGGCTGCACGCAGGAGGCTGAGGCTGCCCGCCGACGCGGTGAGGGCGAGGGGCGGCCGGGGCCGTGTGTGTGTGTGTGTGTGTGTTTGCGGGGGTGGAGGGAAACTGAGGCGGGACGGGGACAGGCTGGGGAGGGGCTTCTGCAGAGACACGCCCCAGAGGAAGGGCACACAGATCAGGGGGTTGGATGCAGAGTGTAAACCGAGGTCCCAAGTAGGAGTTCTGGACTGTGGTTGTGGGGCAGAGACCTGGCGGGGAGTGTTTGCAAGAGCCAAGTCCCAGCTGTCAGGCTGCGTCCTCTGGCCAGGGTAAAGACTCCGCTTGGAGGGGACTTGCAGCGAGTGGGGAGAAACTTTAGGCAGGGGAGCTGGTGGATCTGACTGATGCTGTGGGAGAGCCAGAGCTGGGCGAGCTGGTAAATGCTAAACCTGTCTGCTAGGCTGTGTTAGGAGGCAGGCCTGAGTAACTGTCTTGAGAACAAACTGGTGGGTGGGCCAGGTCCCTCTATTAACAGAGTGCCCTCAAGAGGCTGGACTAAAAAAAAAAAAAAGACTAAAAAAATAAAAATAAAAAAGAGGCTGGACTGACGGAAGTAGACAATCCTCTTTCTGGAGAGCCAGTGTATGGCAAGGTCTTGTCATTCATCGTTCACCTTGGGGGTCCTTGCCCTCAGGTCTCTAGCCCTGGCTCCCCGACTGCCCTTGGCTCCCCAGAGCACTCCTCTCCGAGGAAGAAGACAAAGAAGGCTGTTCAGCTGCCCAGAGTGGCACCCCAGGAGGACAAGGTGAGGAGGCTGGATCAGGGGTGAATGAAGAGAGCATGGGGGTGACTGGCCAGCTGACAGCACCCTGTGTCCACAGGTGCCCTCGAAAGTCACCTTCTCTGAGCTCAACTCATGCCTGAAGCGGGCCCGGGAGCTGGGGGCACGGGTCCAGGAGCTGAGGGCAAATGCCCAAAGGAATGAAGCCAGGGACCCAAATGTGCCGGAGGCCGAGGGGCACCCAGCAGAGCCATGGTGAGTCCTGGGTGGGCTGTCGGGCACCTCAGGAAAGGGTAGGCCTGGTAGGGCCAGGACTGGGCAGAGGGCAGGAGCTGCTCCTTCAGGGAGCCAGCAGAGTCGAAAAGGCCTTCAGACCTCAGCACTGCCACCCGCTAGCCCCGAACCCTCCTCCATCTGTAAGAGGGTGCCCGTTCCTGCCTCGGTGGGCCCTTGTGAATTTCAAATAATATTGACAGCCAGCGGTTATTGGGTATTTGCTTCCTCTTGCCGTGTCTGTCTCCCCAGGTCCTGTGGTCATCATGCGCCTGCCTGCCTCTTAAAGATAAGGAGGCCAGGGCTGGGAATGGCCAGGGACCTCCCTTGGTAACCAGGCAGGACATGGCAGAGCTGGTTTTGAAGCCACTCTTTTCTGTCTCCATCTCTGATAGTGCTTGTGATGGGGAGGTGGGCATACAGGGAATTTGTCAATTGGTATGCAGTGTGTCATGGGGGCAGTTTTGTAAGCCTCAACGCTGAGGTATCCCCGGCCTCTGCTAGCCTTTGGGTACTGGGCGGGGTGTGGGTCTGGCACTTCTCTCAAGGCCTGGCTTCCTCCCTGGCAGTGGAGAGAAGGCGCCCGCCTACCAGCGCTTCCATGCCCTGGCCCAGCCAGGGCTCCCTGGCCTCGTGCTGCCCTACAAGTACCAGGTGTTGGCTGAGATGTTCCGTAGCATGGACACCATCGTGGGCATGCTCTACAACCGCTCTGAGACTGTGACCTTTGCCAAGGTCAAGCGGGGCGTCCAGGACATGATTCGCAAGTGAGCAGGGTCCTTGGAGGGTTGGGGGTCTCGTCCTGCCAGTGGAGGCTGACCTGTGCCCTGCTTGGCTCTCTCACCCCTGGCACCGTCATCCCACAGGCGTTTTGAGGAGCGCAACGTGGGCCAGATCAAAACCGTGTATCCCGCTTCCTACCGCTTCCGCCAGGAGCGCAACATCCCGACCTTCAAGGATGGCATTAAGAGGTCCGATTATCAGCTCACCATTGAGCCACTGTTCGACCAGGGTGAGTGGCTGTGGCCGAGTCCACTCAACTCTGAGCCTCCGTCTCCTTGCCTGTGGTAATGTGTGGTTTTGAGCATGGGTGTGAGGCATCGGGCACTGGGCCTCATTTGAGACCTGTGGTTGCGGGGCTGGGCAGCTGGGTGAGTCTGGCCCAGGGGCTCAGGCCTGGACTCTTCCCACAGAGGCTGGCAACATGGCTCCCCAGCTCACAGCCTCACGACTACTGCAGCGACGGCAGGTGTTTAGCCAAAATCTGGTGGAGTGCGTCCGAGAGCACCACAGGGTGAGCTTACGACCCCAAGGTGACCAACTCAGTCCTTGTTGTATGAGGTGTCTCCCCTGTGGTGGGCCCTGTGCTCTGTCCTGTCCTTGAGTGCTTGATCTGTCCCTGCTGTCACAGCCCCAGCAGGAAACGGGCCCTCTCGAGAGGCTGAGTTCTAGAATTCTCAGCCACTCTTGGAGGCTGGGCCATCATATCATATGGATGGGGTAGGTGTGGTCAGATGGGATCCTGGCCCTGGCTCCCAGCTGAGGTGGAGTCTGCCCTGAACAGAGAAGCGGGGAGCTCAGTACTGTAGCCTCAGGCCTTGCGAGGCGTGTGATGACTTCAGTAGGTGCTGTACTCCACGCCTTCAGCCCAGCTGAGCACCTGGGACCCTGAGAGATGAAGTAGCTTGCCTGAGGGCACCCAGCTGGGATAGGAACCAGGACAGCCCTGCCCCACCCCCAGGCAGGTATGCCCCAGCGTCATCTGGCACCCCTCTTTTCTTGGACAGGCCTTCCTGGCCTCCCTAAACCCCCCCATGGTGGTGCCTGAGGACCAGCTGACGCGCTGGCACCCACGCTTCAATGTGGATGAAGTGCCTGACATCAAGCCTGCTGAGCTGCCCCAGCCACCCACTACGGAGAAGGTGGCTACTGCCCAGGAGGTGCTGACCCGTGCCCACAGCCTGATGTCGCCCAGGGTGAGGCTGGCTCTGGTCTCCCACGGTGGGGCAGTCTAACCCCCATGTGGGTACCTGACAAGCTCCATGCTCTGCCATGGGCCTTGGGGGTGGTGGGACATGCCCTCCCCACGTTCAGAGCACTGCCCACCAGCAGGCTCTGCCTTGGGGTGCCCAGCACAGGTGCCTGATGCACTGGGATGAACTTGGGCTGGACAGACAGGGCCTCCTGGGCAGTGGGTCCATGCAGATGGGGTTTGAGGGGCCTCCCCTGTGGCTGGGCCAGGGGAGGCTTCTCCTGACCTCTCCCCTCTAACTTGTCCCAGATGAAAAAGGCCCTGAGTGACCTGGCCCTGCGCACAGCCGAGCCCAGCAGCCCTGGGTACCCTAGCCCTGCACTGCCAGCCACCCCCCCAGCTACTCCACCTGCCCCTCTGAAGGGGGTGTCCCAGGACTTGCTGGAGCGGGTGAGTGTTTGAGGTCCCAGGGGGGAGTGGGGCTGGACCAGCCATCCAATGACCACTCCCTGTGCCCACTGCAGATCCGGGCCAAGGAGGCACAGAAGCAGCTGGCCCAGATGACACGGCGCCCAGAGCAGGAGCAGCGGCTGGAGCGGCTGGAGCGGCTGCCTGAGCTGGCCCGGGTGCTGCGTAGCATCTTTGTGTCCGAGCGGAAGCCGGCGCTCACCCTGGATGTGGCCTGTGCCAAGATGGTGGATAGTTACCACATGGCCATGAGCCCAGGTGTGTGCAGGGGCCCCTCCCCATGTCCCCCAGTCTCAGATGAGGGTGGGCACCATGAATTTGTACCATTCCCCACACATGCATTAAGCACTTGCTATATGTACTGGGTGGGCACAGCTCCCTCGAGGTCACCTCCTGAGCCTCTATCTGGCCCCTTCAACCCTGTAGCTTCTTGAGGCTTCCTCCTCCTCACAAATCTGGCCTTTGCCCTTGCAGTCCCTCAGCTGGCTGGGTTCCCATAGTATTGCCCGTTCCCCTGAGGTCTCTGGTCCCTTAGAGCTGCAGGACACCTCTGCTGCGGGGTTTTCAAAGGCTAGGACCTATGCCGGGCTCAGTGGGAAGGCTACCTCCTTGGGAGGGCTGTGCAGTCCCTGCGCTTGCTGGCTTCAGTCCTGTGTTCAGTTTACTCCTTTGCTTCTGGGGACATAGGTGGGTCTAGCCTGGGGGAGGGGCTGGGGGGCAAGGGCTGGCCACTAAGGAAGGCCTCTTGACAGGGCCTTGCGGTGGGAGCAGCACCCCTTTCAGATGTGCACACGGGCCTAGAGGTTTGGGAGGCCAGGCCCCTGGTCTCATGTACCCCCCTCTTTTCAGGGGAGATGGAGAAGCACATACAGCTCCTCTCTGAGCTGCTGCCTGACTGGCTCAGTCTCCACCGCATCCGCACTGACACCTATGTCAAGCTGGACAAGGCTGCTGACCTGGCGGGTGTCACCGCGCAGCTGGTCCGCCTTGCACATGCTGAGGCACTGTGAGCCTGACAGCTGCACAGCAACACACAAACGTGGGCGGAGGCCCTGGCCTGGCTCGCCGTGCCTGTTTTATCCCCTTTACAAACATGATGCACTTTTGCTGTCCCTTCTGAGTACTCATGAGTGTCAGAAGCTGGGCTGGGCTCTGGCTGCAGGGCTTGGAGGTCTCTGGCCAGTGTGGGTGGTGAACCCACCTTGTACAGCATATTGTTATTAAACTGGTTTCTCTTGGCTTTGTGTTTGCCGCACTGGGGGTGCAGGGATGTGGGGTATTGGGGTGGGGAGGGTGGCTTTGCTGCCATCAGGTTGCACAGTGTGGTTGGCAAAATAACATGCCTCCCAGATGCCCACATAGGGATCTTGAGATGGGAGTTGATCCTGAATTATCCTGGTGGCCCCAGTGTCATCAGAGGGCCCTTATAAGAGGGAGGCAGGAGCAGAGACTAGAAGGTGGTATATCATTGGCTTTGAAGATGGGGGGTGGCGTCATGAGCCATGGAAATGTGGGTGGCCTTTAGAAACTGGGAAAGGCATGGAATAGATTCTCCATGGGGCTTCCAGAAGGAACCAGCCCAGTCTACACCTTGATGTTTTAGTACTGTTAGCCCACTATATCTGGATTCAACTGATCAGTCGAAAATTCAAAGGGAAAAAAAGTTATGTTGTTGCTGACATGTACTATGTAACTGGGCCTAGAATGGTTGCCCTGTACTGAACACATGGACTTGTCATTATTCCCTAAACAATAATGTAACTATTTACATTGTATTAGGTATGTGTGTAGGTTATATATAATGTATAAGGTATGTGTGTAGGTTATATATAAGCACAACACCATTTTAGATACTTGAGCATCCTGGTATTTTGATATGGGGGATCCTGGAACAAAGGCCCCCATGGATACCAAGGGACAACTGTACTTTTAACCTCTAAGATAAACTTATTTTAAGCCACCAAGTTTCTGTCATTTGTTAACGGAAGCAATGAGAAACCAATTTGGGCAGCACCTGCTTCCTAAGCCAGTCTGCTCCCCATACCAGAGAACCACCAACTGCTGCAAGTGCTTTGAAAGCACCATGCATGCACACCCGGCTGTGGGATCCCAGCATCTTCCGCTCACCTCCTGGCCCCATGTCCCAGATCCCACCCTAGGTACCTGAAGAAACACCACTCTCGCAAAGTTGATTATTCATGTTGTCATTTCACTGTAAATGAACCTGAGCAGCTGGGCTTGGCTTTGCTCTGGGCTATCATTTCCAGAACCTGTAGGAAAGGCCCCAGATAGTACAAAAAGTAACCACAAAAAAGGATTTAAAAAAGTCTTAGGTGGGTAGTCAGTGCCCCCTGGCAGCCAGTGGAGGTCACTGTATCCACCTAGGCTGGACCTCTCCTTTCACCAGTTGGTGTGGTGCAGGGTGCCTGGGTCACTCATACTGCAGGAGGGAAAAAAAGGGCACGGCCCCCAGCTTCTCTCTGCCCTTCAGCGAGGTCAGCTCCACTATGCTCACACATTCCAGCACCTCAGCACGCAGTTGGTTCAGCAGATCACAGGCTGTGCGCATGGTTCCTAGGGTGGGGAGGGGCAGAATGAGGTCCCCCAAAAGCCTGGGCCACCCGGGGGGTTGGGGG